TATCTTGCAATTTTCATTCCTCTTTTAAATAGAAATGCCAGAATGAGCCAGCTTTCAACATGCATAGTCTATAGAGCTACAATGCAAGATCAGCGAAACATTTTAGCGCAATTTGACGTCATTTTAACTGTGACTTTATTGTATACAATTATGACGGCAGTCGAGGGTACTGTGACGTTAATGAGATAATTTATTCATATCAGTGCAACATTATTACGTAAACTACTGTTTTCAATGTTTACCTCAGGAAAAACATGGATGACTCAACGTTTCAGAAAAGAACATTGTAGAGCGCCAAATTAACATAAGCTTAAAAACATGATTCTACTTAACAATAACTTTGTTGTAAAAACAAGTTATCGTTAGGGTCCATAATGCCTGTCCTATAACATACACTTTGTTAGAAAATGGAATTGCTTCTGTCTACCAAATACTCTTTGGACCTAATCAATATACTAGTATAAGGCTTAATCCTACAAACCTTATCCTTCAGCTGGAGTGACCGATTTACAGAGGATGCAATCCCTCCTGGGAACCTTATACTTTGTCTGTTATGACCGGTTTACAGAGGATGCATATTCCTCCTTGGAACCCTATCCTTCGTCTGTTGTGACCGGTTTACAATTCCTCCTAGGAACCTTATCCTTTATCTGATGTGACAAGTTTACAAGGGATGCAATTCCTCCTAGTTACCTTATCTAACCTCTGGTGTGACTGATTTACAGGGGATGCAATTCCTCCTAGAAATCTTATCCTTCGTCTGGTGTGACCAGGCCTCGGGACCATAAAACTTGGACGAGCTCACTTTTGATCTCAGTCTCACTTTTCCACTATATACTGTCGCCCGCGTGGCGCAGTGGTTAGAGCATCTGCTCTAGAGTCGCGAAGTAAGGAGTCAATCCTTACGTCGCGGGTTCGAATCCCACTGCGGGACGTGGAGACCGGTCCTTCGGATGAGACCGTATAAACCGAGGTCCCGTGTCGCAGTAGGTGCTGGCACGAAAAAGATCCCTCCCTGCTCAATGGCCCTAAGTGCCGAGTAAAGGACAAAATTTGCAGCTCTCCACCGGCAAATGGTGGCGTCTCCATATGAGTGAAAAATTCTCGAGAGGGACGTTAAACAATATACAATCAATCAATCCAATATATACTTCTTACATAAAAGTGAGACTGAGCTCAAAAGTGAGCTTGTCTAAATTTTATGGCCTCCAGACCAGTTTACAGGGGATGCAATTCCTCCTAGGAACTTTATCCTTCAGCTGTTGTGACCGGTTTACAGGGGATGCATATTCCTCCTAGGAACCTTCTCCTTCGTTTAGTGTGACCGGTTTACAGGGGATGCATATTCCTCCTTGGAACCATATCCTTCATTTTGGTGTTTGTAGGAGTTGATCAGTAGATTTTTTATTAATATTGGTTACCAGAATGAGTGTGAACATTTCTATTATATTTCGAAGCTATATAACTTTCAATCATTTATAAAGAGAACGGCATAAAGTTGAATATTTAGCTTCAAGGAAAACTTTCTTCTCTGCATTTATTATTTGGATCACTCAGTATACAAACAGGGCTAACGATTGGTATGAATCATGTCAGCCGAAATACGAACCAAATGGGTTATATTTACTGAATTTGTCATTATAATGGTGCTGATTTGATATTAGGTTGTTGACATTTCTGTAGCATCAACCTACTAGAATATTTTTCTGTCGCTTGCTCTTGAGTATCGAAAAAGTTGGGAGATGTCAACACCTATTCAGGTGATAGCGGGATATTACTACTTAAACAAGAGGCCCATGGGCCACATCGCTCACCTGAGTACTGTAGCTTAGAAAAAGTAGAAATTGGTTTATTATTGAAAAGTTAAAATCCAAAAGTAATCCCATGATCAATCATGGATTTGCTATTCTTCAAAGAATTTTCCCATATATTTCTATGTAAAACTTTGGTCGGCCATTTTGGCCACGCCCTACCCCCTGGGGTCATGATTTGAACAAATTTGAATCTACACTACCTGAAGATGCTTCCATATAAATATGATGAATAATGGCTTTGTCATTCTTGTGAATTTTCCCATTAATTTCTATGTAAAACTTTGGTATTTTGGCCCCGCCCCATTTATTGCAAACTTGAATCTTCACTACCTGAGGATACTTCCATATAAATTTGATGAATTATGGCTTTGTAATTCTTGAGAAGAAAATTTTTAAAGAATTTTTTATATATTTCTATGTAAAATTTTGGTCGGCCATTTTGGCCCCGCCCTACCCCCGGGGGTCATGATTTGAACAAACTTGAATCTTCACTACCTGAGGATGCTTCCATATAAATTTGATGAATTATGGCTCTGTCATTCTTGAGAAGAAGATTTTTAAAGAATTTTCCTATATATTTTTATGTAAAACTTTGGTCGGCCATTTTGGCCCCGCCTTACCCCCGGGGGTCATGATCTGAACAAACTTGAATCTTCACTACCTAAGGATGCTTCCATATAAATTTGATGAATTATGAATTGTCATTCTTGAGAAGAAGATTTTTAAAGAATTTTCCTATATATTTTTATGTAAAACTTTGGTCGGCCATTTTGGCCCCGCCTTACCCCCGGGGGTCATGATCTGAACAAACTTGAATCTTCACTACCTAAGGATACTTCCATACAAATTTGATGAATTATGGCTCTGTCATTCTTGAGAAGAAAATTTTTAAAGAATTTTCCTATATATTTCTATGTAAAACCTTGGTCGGCCATTTTGGCCCCGCCCTACCCCTGGAGGTCATGATTTGAACAAACTTCAATCTACACTACCTGAGGATGTTAAAAGTTTCATCTTTCCTGGCACAGTGGTTCTTGAGAAGAAGATTTTTAAAGAATTTTCCAATATATTTCTATGTTTGGTCGGCCATTTTGGCCCCGCCCTACCCCCGGGGGTCATGATTTGAACAAACTTGAATCTACACTACCTGAGGATGTTACCCCATAAGTTTCATCTTTCCTGGCACAGTGGTTCTTGAGAAGAAGATTTTTAAAACATGCCACCAAATTTTCATTAATTCCCAATTATCTCCCCTTGAATGAGGGTGTGGCCCTTCATTTGAACAAACTTGAATCCCCTTCACCCAAGGAGGTTTGTGGCAAGTTTGGTTGAAATTGGCCCAGTGGTTCTTGAGAAGAAGTCGAAAATGTGAAAAGTTTACAGACAGACAGACAGACGGACAGACAGACGGACAGACGGACGCCGGACAATATGTGATCAGAAAAGCTCACTTGAGCCTTCGGCTCAGGTGAGCTAAAAAGGATCAAGTTGACGTTTGAAAAGTTAAAATAATTTCGTTTTTCAAACAATATGGATCTTAGTTTGCCCTTATCGTCAATAGTCTGTAAAACATCCAAATATGGAAGAGATGTGTCAGACTATGTGGTATCATTTATTGCAAGTTAACCGAGATATATCCAGTCGACGTATGATAGGATACAATTATTGCTGTTTTTTAGGTCAATACAATGATTTAGCCATCTGAATAGGTGAATATTGTACTAAGATGCCTAAATCATTATATTGACCGAAATAACAGCAACAATTGTTTTTTTTATAAGATTCACTGATAAAATGATACAACTTATTACTTGTTTGAATTTAATTAAGTCCTAGCCAATTACAAGAGAGAAGCAGAATTAGAATGTAAATAAACCTTACCAGTCTTATCAATTTAAAGTTTTTTAATCAATTTTAGTCGCCATGAAAAAAGTATAATGTGTCTTTTTATAGGATAGATTTTGAAAGGAGTATTATCAGGGAAAACTGACCGCCAAAAAGTAAAAATTCTTGTTCAGTAAAAGTGTTGGAGGGGTTTCCTGCATCCCCTCTTACCACACTCAGCCGAAAATAATATTTTCGATTATGTTTTGTTCACATGAAAAAAAGTCATAGTCATTTAAAAAGCTTTTCAAAACAATTTGTATCAATTTGGAATTTCCCGATCTATTTTTAAATCCATGTAGAGGAAATAAATCCTTGTATTTACCTGGAACGTCACGTGCAGGTCAATACAACGTAGTATTTTTCTAACATAGTTGTATCTCAGCCAATCAGAGAGATGGAAATTATTCAATCATACAATAAAAAGTTATTTACTGATTAATATGTCGCCAACATATATAATTGTCGCGTTGAAGGTCATAGGAGAGTTTTCTTCTTCTCTTGTAAAAGTTTTTGAATAAATTCTGCTTCATTTGAATACTAAAATAGGTTTGCTGTTTACGGGGTGTAATTAGTTTCCATGGGAATTTCGACAGATTGTTGGAAGACATGATCTTCAAAATTTTGTGGAAAGGCATTTTCGTATAATTTTTTTTTCATAAATTAATACTTAGTATATTTAAATATATATAGTGTCTATATCTAATACTAGTATCGTATGAAGCTGAGAGATAAAAATGGATTTTTTTTAAAAATGTGCTGTTTTTAATCTAGATCCAAACATCTATGGTGGTGAATTATATTCAAAACTCTTAAGGATGTTAGATTCCCAGCCAGCCAGGAAGGATTGAGGTAAACAGAAGAAACGAATTAAGTACTGCTACGCATAAAAATCAAGCAATTTTTTTTTTCAAAAGTCTGGGTAACTATCATTTTTTATCCTAAAATGTATTTGTTGATACAATATTAAAAGAAAATTTTATTCACATTTTCTGAGAATGTATTGGAAATACTAATTTTCCCTATATCATATGATTAAATCTAAGGATAAAATTTTTATCAGCATTTTCAATTATTCAACGCCTGATTTGCAGAACCTGAGGATCGAACTACTATAAGGAATCCTGCTTTTGGAATTAGAGGGTTGAGATACAACTCTACAAAAGGCATCAGATATAGAAACCTTTGCAAAAGGACGTTCATTTGATCTCCACTTATTTGCAAACTGCGGACAACTCATGCATTACCGAACTTGGGTTTTCCAGAATCACCATAATTGACGATTGGAATAAAAACGATGACTTACTCGGTAAATATGATTTATTTTACACGTCAACAGTTTCTATTACCTTGGGACTAAAGCACCATATTTGTAAGGAATGATTTTATTGTTCTGTTTAGGTAAGTATAATGTTAATGAGACAAACTATTTTGTCAGAGTTGTTTATAGCTGGGGTTTTCAGGAGCCCCAGAATATGGTACTATAACATTGTTCCGTCGGGTGGAAGTATTCAGTCCTTGTTAACTGCACATCCCATGAAGATGAAAAATGATGATTGATGTAAACATTCCTCTTGTTGTCATAGGGAGGGAGAGGAATAAAAAAAGGTTTTCACATGCCACGGCTACGACCGTCCAATCTTGTTCTGTATAGCCAATGGTATGCACTCATAAAACACAAACTGTAAAAATAAACACGGAAAAATAATTTATAAGGCTAGTCAGAAAACTCGGTTGAAGAGAACTTGGTTTTCTTTCCTTTAAAGTATTCTTGAATAAATTTGTTATAAGGATTAAAATTCAAGCATCATCTAAAGAAGTTGTTTCGAATTGGAACAAGACTCTCGCATTGTTTGTGACAATGTCATGCAAGAAAATAAATGTAAATGAAGCATTAGTTAACAAAGTAACTTACGTCATCTATTTTCCCTTTGAGACCGTCATATTTTGGACAGGAACCGAGTGAAATTCCTTCTGGTCTGGACTGAATATTTCCTAAAATGATGTTAAATGGTAAGCTTATCATGAAATAAATCAATTATTTTGCTTTTCGCCAGTAACTTACCAGTATTTTCAAAGATACCTTTTCGGCAATTAAAGAAATAAATAAGTAAATCAACAAAAGAAAACAAAAACCCATTATATTAAAGTCTCAGATTGTGTCATTTAATTGCTTCAAAGATATGGCAGTGTTAAATTCTTGATTCCATAGAAGTTACCAGTAATGTCTTGGAATTTTGAAAAATGTCTTCTTTGAAACCACGGTAAACAACAGTATTAGGAAGTATGACGATACAGCAATGAATGACATTGATTTTAAAATATGATCAATGGAAGAAGAGCATAGTCTTTGTGAACAGTTTATACCAATACGGTGGTTTCAGAATTATGTAAGCAGATCATTAAATTCAATGTTTAGGTGTAGAGTACATACCAAACATCTGCAAAGGTCTAATAGTAAAATAAAATTTCAATGCGAATCTTTTTCACGTGTATATCAGAAAAAGGTTTAATGATCTCCCCCTAAATCTATCACGTAAGTATACGTAACAGTTGTGTGTAGAACATACCTCTCATTGGTATGGATTGCTTCTTTTCTCCTTGCCAATTATTGACCATTGCATGCATATCTCTTCCATTGTACACTAAAGTAACTTCATTCCATCCTTTAACCTGCACGTATCAAAAAATATGAATGAAAATGTTTGTGACTAGTGTTTATTATAAATAATAAAATCAGTGATAAAATGCAGGATACTTACTATTGGCAGGATAAGTTCCCCTGGCTGACTGCTGCCCATAGTTACCAAAGTCATTTTTACGTTCTGTTCATTGGCTGCAATGTCAATGGAAGGGTTGTTTCCATAACAATTGCCAACCAATGACTGATAGTGGAAAGATGAGTGTGCCTGGCGTTTTTGTCGTACATTATCGGTAGATCGTTTCTTCCTCATCAAGTCCTCCGCAGCCAATAAACCGAGCATATCCCCCATGCCATATCCTCCTCCATAGTAATCTAGACTGTCCTGCATGGAACTTGTACCAGAGCCACCTGCGAAACCAGTAGAGAGACTTTTCAAAATAGAGTCTAAAGACTCGGTGGATGAACCACCCGAACTTCCGCCTGAATGAGAACCAGAAGGACCGCCAAAGAGTATATTAGACCAGCCCTCGCCAAAAGCCGAGTTCACGTGGTGACCGCTGATGCCTCCAGTCGCAGAGGCACTGGAAGTTCCCCCTATCCAAGATGAACCTAAAACGGGGAGGTTAGAAAGCAAAGCCAAGTTATACAACAAGCCTAAGTGGGTATAAGGTCCGAGTATAACAAATTCTACTACGAGAATATATAATCATGCATATACTTCTAAGATTTCTTACACTTTGACTGCTACTGATATTCAAGACGAGAAATGAGCCAGTAATTCTTATTTAGGGTGTCGCTATTCTGATACACTTTTTAACACGAATTCAGAACATAGTTTCAAACAGAAAAGAGAGGTTAAAAATAAATATACAAAATATAACAGCAATCTGAAATAACTAAAACTTTTTTCATTTCATAGAAAAACGTCTTACAACAATAGCAAAAATTGCTAGTGTAATTTGATGGTCTATATTTGTAGTAAAAAAATTAAAAGGACGATACATATACAACAGGTTAAAGAATTGTTGTAATTTTCATCAAAGAGCTTAAATCACCATTAGATAATAAGGCTAACCTTTTTCTATAGTCTACATTTACAGCAGTTTCTACATGAAGAGGAGAGAGGAAAGATGTTTTCTAAACGCTAATACTGATGTCAAACACCTTACCAATGCTTGAAAAATTAGCACATCTAATTATTTTCCATATACTTAAAAACAGAGCATTTCAATCAAACTTTACTCGTTAATATAACTTGTTTAAATTTAATCCACTAAAATATATCTCCTAGATTCTGAAGGAAAAAGTTTATTAGTGAAAGAAACCCACATCATTCGACAGGATTATGTGAAGTAACAGAAATGTTTAATTCCTGCAGGCATCATCCTAGGTCTAATCGTGCATTGCCCTTCCATGCAACAATTTTACCTGAGCCAGCAAAAGGAAACAGAAGCAGCCACCTGACCCATTCACTGTTGTCGGCGTCATAATCGTCATCAATGACGTCCCATCCATTCTCCGTTAGCGACAGGCGGATTTTTTGATGGTTTAGAAATTTTAACCAATCTTCTTTACAAGTGGAGTTGTATAATAGACTTTGCATTTCCGTAATAAAATCAATGTATTCAGAAACTGATTCCGAAAAGTCCTCACGGTCAGACCATACAAGTTTGTCCTTCCATGAGAATTTTTTAAACTTCAAATGAGAAATAAACCTTCTCCATAAATTCATAATATGTTTACGTCCAAATTTCGTGAAACCGTATCTTAAGCCGAACCAGCCTGACGGATAACCGGTGAACGGACGTCTGTGCCAGCCCTCATCGTCAAAGTCCCAGTAGTATTTCCTCACTACCGGGCCAAAGGGAAGTTCCCTGTGACTTCCAGTGGGCGTGTCTACTGTATGTAAATTATATTATGGTTATACTAAAAGCGACGTGAAAGACATCAATTCCACATACTCAGAAAGATGAAATATTATTTTTAGCATTCCATGCATTATTGTGTAGTAATACATTATATACGTATATTGATTACACTTTTCTTTCCCCTTTACCCATAGAGTTATTTCCTGTGGATTAGAATCTAGCTTTTTTTGTATAGCACATGACATACGTGTTCTCTAACTATAAACAGCGCATTAGTACTACTTCTACTTGGCTAAGCAGATTGAGAGCTTGAAATATCGCCAGCGTTTAGAAGCAGCGGGTCAGAAAGCGGGCGAAATGTCGTACTCATTCTTACCAGCCCTCCAGTTTGTATAGTTCCCTATACCTGCGAACCACCAATTATACTGGGCTTTTGTTGATGTTGATATCAGCTCATCATATGCAGAAAATAGCCAATAGACCCATAATTTATTGTCATTGGCATAACCCTGTCTTAATACATCCCATCCTTCTGTCGTCAGAACAACATGGCGGTTGTTACTTTTCATGCAGCGGAGCCACGAACGACGCACACTAGTAATGCCTAAAATGCTGCGCATCTCTTTAATAAGAGATAAATAGTTTTCTTTTCTTTTTTTACTCCAGCAACGCTTTTTTTGCCAGCCGCTTTTGCGAACACTTTTTCTCGAAACAAACCAGCGCCAAAATCGTGCTATTGCTTTGATTCCACTTGGAGCAAAAGGAATGCGACTGTTCAGTTTCAATCGCGTCGAGTGATGCCACTCTTTTGTACTAAATGATTTGAAAAGCCAGTAAAGAAAAGAGTCTGTATCGTCTCTTTTCACGTTAACACCACAGTGACAATCCCATCCATTTAATGTGAATGCAACATTGCACTTGCGCGCTGTTAGAAATTTTTTCCACTTATTTTTAAAATCGCCTTTTATGAGAATATTTCGCATTTCTTGCAAGAGTAAAACAAAATTGACTTTGTCAGCGCCTTTAACATTTCGTAGTGTCCAAAGTAAACCTCTACCCCACTTCTGTGGAATGATTTTATTTTGCGCGAGAAATAATTCCCATAATTCTGCAAGGGACTTTATACCATTAATAGTAAACTTATTTTTTGATGACGTACCGATATACGACGTAACATCCGTGATAAACAGCCAATCAATTATCGTCCCTGGCACCGACGACTCAATGAGGTCAACAGTTGTAACAAGCCAATAGATAAATCCAGCGATGTCATTGCGTGTTCCACCAAGTTCCAAATCCCATCCCACGGTTGTTAACACGATGTTGTATCCACTGTTGGTCATGAAATCGATGAACTGATTTCTAATCATCTCGTTGTCTAGCAAGTGTCTCATTTCACGGAAGAAAAGAAGATAATCTTGATGGGTAACTTCACCGGTGGTCTTCTTCCTGTTTGTCCATTGCATGGCGTTGTTAAACAAAGAAGTATCGATGTGCATATGTGACACAAACTGCTCCCATAGCACCACTAATTTTTGTAAACCCGATATTTTAAATCCTCTTCCGTGGAATCGATCCCAGCTCTGCTTTCCCTGAATGAAGATCCAATCAATATCAGTGATAGACGAATTCTCAATACTGTCTACGATGTTAAACAACCAGAAGATGAAAGCAGATGCGTCGTTTATAGATCCACCTTTTACGATGTCCCACCCTTCTGTGACCAATACTATGTTGTAGTTATGTTTCGAGAGGAATTGAAGCCATCTGCCTCTCATAGTATTATCTGCTAACACATGTCTCATTTCTTTCAAAAGCAAAATGTAATGCTTGTTTTGTACAGTGTCTGTCGGAGCACGTAAAGTCCAAAATAAAACATTTCCCCATGAATTTCTGTCCAAGTTTGATTCTGCGATGAACATATCCCAAAGATTCATTAAACTTTGAAGTCCATTCTGAGTTATACTTATTCTTAAATTGTTTGAACCTGTAATGCTTATTATCCAGCTGAAATCGGTTCCAGGGGCGGAACTTTCAATTTCGTCCACAGTGGCAAAAAGCCAGAAAATAAATTCAGCAATGTTGTTCTGAGATCCACCTTTAACTATATCCCAGCCATTGTGTGTCAAAACAATATTGTGATTGTGTCTCGAAAGGAACTCCAACCACTGTTGTCTCAAAAAGTCATCTGCAAGAATATGCCGCATTTCTCGAAGGAGTAAAATATAGTCCTGTAGTCCTGGTTTACCAGTGTTTGTTCGAAGGGTCCAGAAAAGTACATTCCCCCAAGTATTTTTATCGATATTTGTTTCTCTCATGAATGTTGTCCACAGTTGAGCGAGATTCTGAATTCCAGTACTTGTAATTCCCGTTTTCCAGTCGTTTCCAAATATCCAGTCAAAGTCTGTTCCAACATCCGAGCTCTCCATTTCGTCAACCACGACGAAAAGCCATGTAATGAACGCGGCAAGGTCATTGCGCGACCCGCCTTTAATTATATCCCAACCGTTATTATTAAGTACTATATTGTAGTTATGTGTTTTTAAGAATTCTTGCCACCCTCTAAGCATGCCTTGGTTAGATAAAATGTGTCTCATTTCTCTAAGTAACAAATAATTATCTCTGTAACCATTGTTACCACTACGCAATGTCCAAATGAGTTTATTGCCCCACTTATTTCTATCTAACGGGTTCTCTGCCATATATAGCTTCCATAGTTCCGCTAGAGTGATTATACCGTTAGTGGTTATTCCTATCCGTCCACCATTATTCCACCCACCTGGACCAAATATCCATTCATATACCAGACTCAAATCCAATCCTTCTAACCCTTCGACTCCAGATAGCCAGGGCCACAAAGTGGATGTGTTTATTCCAGATCCACCTTTTGTTCCTCCAGTCTGAGTAAAAAGCCAATATAACCAAGCACCTGCATCATTTGTAGGGCCACCACGTTCAAGTCTCCATCCCTTACTCGTACCCACTATGTTGATATCATATTTTTTCATGAAGTCAAGGAAATGAGTACGTATAGTATCGTTGCCTAAAACATTTCTTAGTTCATCAATAAATATATCTGTTCTACGTCCACCAGTTCCTCCACCGGTCCGAGTCCATGTAAGATATGGATACATGGAGCTGTCTTGATCGAGTCTAGTATCAGTTACATATTCCCTCCATATATCTGCAATGTGTCCGAGACCATCATGTGTGAAGCCTCCGTGGTCGGTTTGAACTTTTCCTCCACCCAATATGTAGTTCAACATTTTCCCACCTTTTCCACTTTTTACTAAATCTTCTATGTACCGGAGGAAGTGCTGATGTTTTTGATTATTTTTATGTCCCTCTCCACTTCCGCTATAATTTCCAAAAATGGAAACGCTAACACCTCTTCCTTTCAAAAAGTCAAACCAAAGATCCTTTATTGTTCTGTTTCTACCAAGCACTCCTTCAATTTCATTCATGAACTCAATTCCCAAGTGGCTGTGTTTATCAGGGGCAAAGGTAATTTTGAGGAGATCCCTCCAATCCCTTGTGTTCATGCCTCTTTCATTAACGAATATTCTCCAGAGATCTGCAATAAGTTTTCCCATGTTATGGTTGACATTAAATCCATAGATTTTGCCTTTATTCCAGTCTTTGTCATTGAGATTAAGGGAATTCAGGAAACGCTGCCAGTTGATCAGCACATGTTTATGATTGTTTCCAGTATGATCTCTTATCCATTTGTTCATTCCCTCAATACGAAGAAGATTATACAACAGCCTTCTGATTTCTGTAGAGCCATGGACATGTCCAATTTTCTGTAATATCTGATTAATCAAACCGGAAGCCTGTCCAGAAAATAAAATGCGGAGGATTTGAAGAGCATTTGTTGCATCAGGCATAAATCCTAAATGGTGAAGCAAGGCTTTGAAGTCAGGAGAATTAGCAATTTCTATCATATGCAAATTCATCTGCTGTGCTGTTGTTGAACCCATCAGCTTCCTAAACATGCGCATAAGTCTCTGAGCATCCCATCCTCCTCCTATGGTTATGTTACGTGTCCACGTCTTGCTCTGGATGTCAAATCTCCAGTGTGTCTCACCTTTCTCCAGATGTACCACCCTTCCTACAAGATACCAAAAAGAGCTGATTTAATATTAAAGAGATAAGTTTGACCAATTCCAGACAAGGAAAGGCTTTTGTGAGAAATTTGTGCTGATTAAGCATTGTACATGTATTGACAATTGAGAAATTAGCCTCATTTATACAAGAAAACAAATAACTTCTTGAAATTTCTCTTAAATTAGTTATACCTGCATGGTCTAAACTGTCGGGCCATCGATCAAATTTGAACTTGAAGCTGATTAAAAGCTTGTCACCCAGTGTTGCGTCTGCATATTTGTACATGGTCAAAGCACTATTTCCAGTGAAATGAGCACTGCCGTATGGCGTGACAGTAACTTCTCTAGCCATTATTGCTGTGTTGGATCCTGACTTATCTTTCAAATCCACGTCAAATGGAAGATATGCTGAAGCTTTACACTGATCTAGTAAAGAGACAAAAGCTTGATACTAAATACCTTGTACTAAGGTATCTGAACACAAATGAGTTTAGAATTATGTAAGATTTTTCCAAAGAGATCTGTCATATCATTTTACCTCCAGGGAGCACTGGTATTAAACCCTCCATATCAGGAATACAAGTGCAGTACTCTTTGCTGAATATTGTTCCTGGCGCACAGTGACGTACAATTTTCTGTTGTGGAACATCATCCATGTAGAACCTTCTGTCCCAGTGTGGCTGTTTCTTGCAAGCTTGAGGAAAAAACAAATTGGCTTCAAATATTCTTTCAAAAATCTATGATGAAACTGAAAAACATTGGACAGTTTTTCTTGATGTATTCTTAAAAACCTACGTGTAAAAATCTTTCCACCACCCGGAGGACAAGGTTCGTTACAGGCGAGTCCTCTCATACATCCCATTCCCTCCACGTAGTGAGTTCCAGGGGCACAGCATGACCCAATACTGTGGCTATTGACACAAACCCAATAGGCGCGACATCCACTGCTGTCCATACCGTAAGTGAATCCGTTGGGAGCTTGTAAACAGGAGTCTGAAATTGCAGACAGATGTTTTTCTTGATTAGTAGTATGTTCCTTAAATTTCCTCAACAGATCCACAACTCGTTATCGTTGTTAAGAAATTACTCACCCATGTTACAGTGGACATGTATTGATGGTTTACATTTCAGTTCGTTTTGTTCCCAGAACTCTCCAAATGGACAATCCTTAACAACACCGTGAACATAGCCATTGTCCTCCCAACACTGGACGAATTTACTGCAGTCACCGGGGAAGAAGTTATATCCTGTTCCCTTGTCATACAGGCAACCGGCACACAAACCTATGGAGAAAAAAATTCTGATTGACAATTGTCTCACAAAATTCAACCAAAAGAAACACCTGAAGATCATTGATTACTTACTTGTAAAGTTGTGAGATGGGTGTGGAGGGCGTGGAGTGACAGGTCTTTGAATTTCTGTCAATAAAATAAAAAAATATAGTGCTAAATATCAAAATAGCCAAATTCAAAACATAATACATAGTATACTAAAAATGTTTTTGTGGGGTAGCTACCTTCGCATATCAAGTGACGAAGATTTGGCAAAATCGAGTTCAAACTCATTGTGTTTGGTGTAAGAAGAACATGTCTTTCGCTCGTGGCTGTATTCAACAACTCATTTCTGTCCACTAAGTTGCCAACTCCAACAGTGAAGAGTTTGACGCCCTCTGTTTTGGCTAGATCTGTTTCGGCCATTGAGAGTCGTGGGGATGACGTCGGTTCGTTTGTTATCATTACTCCAATCTTCGGAGCTGACGGTCGACCTTGTTCTCGGAACATTTCTCGCATTTTCTTCAAAGCTAAAAAATTAAACTTCATTAAAATTCATAAAAGCAATGGTATTGAATTGAAGAAACTTTTTCTGTTTTTCTTTAAGCACGCTGAGTGTATGGAAGGTGTGGGGGTACCTTCGGCAACATTGGATCCAGGCGTTGCTGGTTTCATCAGAGAGTTGAAGTAGTTTTGTAATGAGAACTTGTCTTTATAAGGCTGAAGTCCCACGTGATCTCCGATTCCACTGCCGTACACGATCATACCGTAATGGTGCGCGCTTGGACTAACGTACATGTTGTTGACCATTGTGCTGAGGAAGTCCTTACTCTCCGCCCAGCTTTGCCCGTTCAAGCCCTGTGAACCTTGTAGCATGAACATGATCTCAGCTGGAACATCACATCCGGGAACTGCACGAAAAGACCAAATCAGTTACTTATTTTTATTAATATGAGTGAATTTATGTGTTGAATCAAATACTTTTTTATTACCGCAACATACCAGTAAAAGCGTATGATTTTGTCTAAGAAAAAGAAAACCCCACCCCGAAAGCTCTGTTGTAAGATACTTGCAAAATGCAGATCCGTAGAGAAGTTCAACTATTATCATGTTTTTCTAAATTATAGTTAACACAAAACAAAGTAAACATCACTGGTTGTAAGATTCTAGTTCTCATTCACTGATATTCAGATGATCTATTATTAGACATAACAATGATTCCGTGTGATGTAACAGTGGATATGTCGTGACTTTTCATTTCCTTAATACACATTTAACAAGGAATATTTCTAAAATTATTTATGGAAGACCGTTTGATATTTCTGTGACACGTGTAATTCTGCAATTTGGCATTGTCTGAATTTATGTTGACATTTCATTAAAAGTGGCCTCCCCCATCCTAACAATTTGAGAAACCCTGTCAATGAAAACATGTCTTCAACAACATTATGAACGTTTTGATCTTTTGTTGGAAAGTGTCCTTCACATCAAAAGATATCTTTGGAACAATAATGACACAACCCTCAAACAACAGACCTGTCTTCATAATTTCATTCATATCTGACAAAAGGAGCAATCTTTAAAATAGTCACAAGCCATTTATGTCTTTAATCCTCCCAGAGTCCTTTGTAGAGGATAAGAAATAACTATTGATAACCTGCATAACGTTTCAAATGTTTTGAGATCCTTAATGACCGAAGTAATTAATTTGATAAATAATCACAATTATTTTAGTGTTCGTCTAGATAACAAGAAAAATATCGGCAAGTAATGTGGGACTATCTCTGATCAGAAAGTGTTAATGAACACCAGTTAAAAAATTCAAATAAATGAAAAAAAAAACAGAATGGAATGACACTATCTCTTAACAAGTTTCATTTTCTTTATATTCTTTTTGATGTCAAAATCCGCTAATTTTATGAGTGTTCCAGCAAAATCATAACATGTAAACCCTGCTTCTCCTCAAAATAATTGCAGCGTTTACTTTCTGCTTCTTATTTTAAATTTCTTAATGTAATACAATTTTAAATCTTGAATAAACACAATAAAATTGATAAATTACACAGACATATTCATACCAACATTTCCATGAATGTTTCAATTTATTATGTAAATATAAAAATAAATTGATCAAATTTATTCATTTATTATTTATGTGTTTATTTAATTGGTATTTAGCTCTGTTAATTACAATTAACCTGCGTACATGAAATTGTACATTATTTGTGTGTACTTACTTGGTTCCAGTGTGGTGGTGACAGGTTGAGGGGTGGTCGTCGGCATGGGTGGGGTGGTTGTAATAACTGTAAATATTCAAAATACTAGTATCCCACATCGATATTTATACAGTAAAAAAGTAACAAAACCTTTATCTTCGACCTTGTCTGTCGTGAACTTGCTTCTCATGTTTAATCTTTAATTGCAATATTTATACACAATAATTTATAACAAATATATTAAACGAATAGATTTGAAGATATCTATTGAAAAAATAACATATTAAAGGCTAAATAAAAAAAATTAAAATAAGAACTTTAAAGGAAAATAACACAATGAATAATTTATCAATGTTTTCGAAATTTAAACAAGCAATGAAAAACAACATAAAATTTAAAAAAAAAATACATTTGTTCTTTATTAATTATCCTACAGATAGATTTGTAAACTTCACACGTAACTTTTTAGGCTGCGCCTGCGGATATACCGTACAGCGATAGACATTACAGTGTAACCTATGTACAGTTGGGACATCAATCTCGATAATGGCGGGGCTCACTCAGTATCACTGCTGACCGCTCTAACCTTTGTCACCTTACTGACAATGAATAATGACAGCCACGTTTAACTGTGACGTTGCCATCTTTCTCTCTTTGGGCGTAGCTGGATTACTGCCCAGTGCCCCTACTTCCTCGACATTGTCATCCGGGCATTTCGTTATTTACCCGCCAATTTATTAGTTACAGCTAATTGTAATGTGCCTTAAAGCACAACTAACTTCAGCTTTGATGATCTAAATTAAGAGAGATAAATGCAACATCACAAGACATTTAGGGGCTAGTAATCAACAATAAGTGTTTTGTAATTCAATCATTAACACGGAAGTGCTCCGAGTAAACTGATGAAAAAAAAATGCAGTAATTACGCAGTGGACATCAGCTCTGTTGGGTTAAAAGTATAAATTCGTAAGTGTTACATCACCTTTAAATTATTTTCATAGTGCGATAGTTTGCTTGATGTCTGCCCAAGAGGAAAATGACATTTCCTGTGTTAATTAGACATTAATAACCAAAACATAGCTCTTATCCTAGTCAGCATGTGTGAACTCAAATTTCATAACTTTATGATCTCCTGACAAACTAGGGAGACTGGTCTGTGAAAGATATTCATGTTAAGCATTCGAGTTACAAGAATGAACTTTAATTCTAAAAAAAAAGAAAAGAATAGTATAAGCTTTTCAATATTAGAAATGGACAGTCTGATATGAAAAAATTAAAGAATAACATATCATTGACCTCTAAATAACTTCTTCAGAAGTATCCGAGAATTGGCGAATTTGAGACCTTTTAAGAGGTAGCCTAACATTCAATGAATTTAAGTCTTTTGTGAAGTAGCCTTTGCCTAATATTGGTGATTTTACGACGAAACCTTTTATGAAGTAGCCTAAAATGGTGACTTTAATAAAGCAGCCTGAGATTGGTGATTGTTCCACCTCTAAATAGCCTCTGCCAGGTTAGGGGAGAACAGTTGTGGATGAACATGTATACATTATACCAACTGAAGCGTATGAAAGACTTACCTTGACAAATTAAATCTCTAATGGCGATGATTATTTGTTGCAAAGCAGCAAAGTCGGACACTTCGAACAGCTTCCTTTCGTTGGTAGCGATCTGTCGCAATTCGTCTCTAAAGATCTGGGTGCCAACACCAACGGCAATGACGATGATTCCCTCTCGCTTGGCTTGTTCAGCCTCCATTATTGTTGCACTGGGTCTAGTGGATCGACCATCTGTTACAATTACCATGACTTTCGGGGCATTTGGCCGACCTTGCGTACGGAAATACTCTCTCATTTTTTGAATACCCCTTGCAGTGTTAGTACCAACTTTTGGTTGTTTCAGGTTTCTGGCAAGAATAGTTAACAAGGTTTTCGGCTTAAAAGGTATAAAAGGAATAGTTTGACCAATCAGTGTGCTATATACTACCACACTGGCGTGGATTGTATCTGGGCCAATGTCAAGGTTGTTAATCAGGTTAGCAGCAAAGTTCTTTTCTTTGGTCCACCCACGGTCATCAATGCTGTCAGAACCATCCAGTAAAATACCAATATCAGCGGGAACATTACATATGAGACCTGAAAAGTTTAGTTTACTTGTTTTTTGGAATAGAAAAAAAAAACAAAAACAAATTCCAATTTGTGATAAAGTTCAAAAATTTCAAAATAAGAAATTAGAAGCATCTGGATGTTACGCATTACCCTCAGGTGGTGGCACCGTGGACGGTGGTGGTGTCGGCATCTCTGTGGTGGTGGTAGTGGTGGTGGTAGTCTTTATCTCTGAAATATTACATTTTTTTACAATGACATTCCTAATTTGATAATTCTTTGAAACTCATCGGAATTGTGAAGCTTTTTAGTTATTTCGTACCTTGACAGATCAGATCTCTCATGGTGTTTATGATTTGTCCCAGTCTACTAAAATCTCTGACTTCAAACATCTGTTGTGGAGAAGACGCCAACTGCCTCAGTTCTCCCTGGAAGATTTCTGTTCCTACACCAATGGCAATCATAGTTATGCCTTCAGCCTTGGCTAGGTTTGCCTCTCTGATGGTCTCCTGTGGTCTGGTAGACCGACCATCGGTAATGACCACTGCTAGTTTGGGTGCAAACTGTCGTCCTTCTTCCGCCATCATTTTTCGAACTCTCTGTATACCTTTTGCTGTGTTGGTGCCTATTTTGGGGTGTTTCAAACTCTTTGCAAGAATCTTGAGGAGGGATTTACCTTTCGCTGGTTGGAGTCCTACAACGTCTCCAATCATCGTGGAGAAAACCACCATGCCGACATGAATTGCTTCTGGACTGATTTCAAAGTTATCCACCATGTTAGCAACAAAGGCTTTCTGACGCATGAAATCAGCGTCACTGATGCTGTCACTGCCGTCCATTAGGAAAACAATATCTCCCGGAACATTACAGATCAGGTCTGCAAAAGACATTTAAAAATTATCGTGTACTGTATTCAACTGACTTGAAAAAATTGTAAAGATGTTCAGAATTTACATCTAAAATGTAACTGAAATGTTCCAATCTCTGATAATTGTCTAAGTTATTCACTGAATATAATGTAGCTCCACGTAATTCTCATGAGTTTGTTTTTGGGTCTGAATTAGCTACTAATTATTTCTGCTGTCAGTGGTAACTCTTTCGTATGAGAACAGAGCTGGTATCATTGATGGTACATGGCACTACCATTTGGATAGTGGCCATTTTTACTATAATTGGCTATAAAGAGCTATTTTTAGTTTGATACTTACCCTTTGGAGGTGGAACATAGATAGGTGCCATTGTCGGAATCTTTGGTGTCGTTGTAGTCGTGGTTGTAGTGGTAATAACTGAAACGGACAAGTGGGGAATTATTATTAAACTGTTATGGTGGAAATATTGTTTCTGAAGCAAAAGAGGGGATATTGGCACAAATACTAACTGATGATGTAACTAATAATACTGGAACTAATAATAAACGAAATGTAAAATTGTATAAATATTACAAAAATGTTGTAATGGGGAAAATGCTATTGTGGGATAAAGAATACTGTTATCAAGATGTAAGATTGATAATAAAAGAGAGGGCAAATTCTTCTGAAATGGGAAACATTACTAAATAATTAAAAGATAGTTATTGAAATACGGGAATAATGTTTCTAATCCTAAAGTTGTAATATAATAAGAGGAATAATGGTATTAATAAATAAAGGCAAATTGAATGAATTTAAATTAAATTATTGAAGGTATACAATAAAACTGACTATGTCACATATTTTCTCAGATTACCTTGACAGACCATATTCCTGATCTCTGTAACTAGTGTTATCAAGGTCCCAAAGGTAGGAGATGTGAACATTTTACTGGGTCTGGACGCAATGTTCCTCAACTCGTCTTTAAACATGTGCCCCCCTACCCCCACCGCTAGGACCTTAATTCCTTCGTTCTTAGCAGCATTAGCCTGGAGCTTGGTGGCCCTTGGATTGTCTGAACTTCCGTCTGTGATGACGATAGCTATTTTTGGAACACCTTCTCTTCCATCCATCTTGAACTTTTCTCTCACGTACTCGATTCCTTTGGCTGTGTTGGTGCTGGCTTTTGGATGATTTAAAGCACCTGCTAGAAGCTTAAGCATATTTTTGTCCTTGAAAGAGTTCAGTCCGATATGGTCTCCGATTCTGGAGCTGTAAACCACCATTCCGAGGTGAATGGCGTCTCGAGCGATATCGAAATTATCGATGAGAAGTTTGACGAACTCCTTCATTTTGATCCAGTCACGGTCCTGGATGGAGTCAGAACCGTCCAAAAGAATCATGATGTCGGCGGGGACATAACAATTCAACGCTGAAATAGGGAAGTTTTATCAAATAAAATGTCATTAGGAAAAAAAACTAATAATGATCTCATGCCAAGCGAAATATCATTTAGCAACAGAATAAAGTTTACATAGTTCATTCAACAACAACAACAACAACAAAAACAACAAAAGATTGCTATCATGATACATAAAATTGAATTCTTAGGGAATATGATAAGCAAATTAAAATAGTATCTTAGACAATTTTCCCAGATAAATTGAGAATTTGAGAAAAAATAATTAAATTTTCTTCTGGTAACTAGCTACTGGTAACCATAACCATAAAAATTGACATATCGTTAGATTTATATTTTTAAGAATATAAAATTTAAATAAATTGAATTTTCGTGTTTTTTTTTAGAATGAATAATTACATGAAAAATGATAAAAGATAATAAAAATAATTTCAAGTCTAAAAGTCCTGAAAAAAACCAGATTGAGTATAAAGCGAATAAATTTAATATTTAAAATATAATTGTGATTTATATAATCCTTTTTATCCATTTCTGCTAAAAAAAATAGTTCCTTACACTGTAGATAGGCATTGTGGACGAAAAGTCCCAGAAGTGCCAGTAATATCGGCAAACGCATGCTTCAGGAACCACTGCAAGAGACAAACCATCAAACCGATCATGTTATGACAATAAAAAGTGAACTTAAATTTTATCAGCTATAAAACATAATATCCGCACTTCTCTCCCGCAAACTGAGGGAACATAGTGATTTTTCACTTGATGCTTGAGTTTTAACATTTAATTGTGATTTGCCATGCGTCATACAAATTGTCGGTTCCGTACATATTGACAAGAACATGAGTGACTGTGTGATCAAATTCGCACGCCTGATATAATTGAAAAAGACAAGCGTAAAAATCACAAAATTAAGCAATTTCATAAACAGGCCACCAAGTATTTGTCAGTTCATGGCTCTTAATTAGCAAAATAATATTTGAGAGGACTTAAAAGATAGCCATGTTTTGACAATGTAGGATGTTCGCTTTTGACCTTAATAATATTGTCACTTACCTTTTCTGTAATAATCTTTCACCTTCAACATCAACTTACTTGGAAAATGTTAATATGTTCTTGTTTTTTTTTTTTACGAAAAAATTGTTTTTGTTTGTGGGTTCAATTACACATATATATTGCGTACATGATGATACATCCAGTTTCCACCTAAGTACAGAATTAATAGCCCATTAGGTAGAGTGACCGGCCCTGCCCGTTAACCTGTCACCTAGGGTGTGACATAATCAACCTTAAACCATAAACTCCCCGTCAACGTCAAATTTAGATACGACTTAATTGATAACGTATCATACACACATGCAACTGCATGTTTTATTTTTATAAATATACATGTATTAATTAATCACTTTTATCTTCATGAATACTGAAGAAACTCGCACTTCCAATCGTTTTTTTTTTCTTTGCCTTTATTTTGCGTCTATTATAAAGAACAGATATAAACTCTAAAACAAAAATTAAATTGCTTATATAAACCGATTTAACCCCCCACCTCCTCATTCAAATATGTTTAAGTCTGTCCTAAAATTTACAAAAAGCCCATAAAAATTGAAAACGAAGTAAAAGCAAAAAATCGTATTCAAATTAAATTCACGATACATAATTTCTAATAATTACATGTATAACCAGATCACTGGATTTTCTCAATCAATTAATTTAAAGAGTGCTCTTATACGTGGTCTTTATGTCGTGTTATACTGGGTCGTCTTATTTTGTATTTTGCCTCCTAAATTTTTGAAATACATGTGTATATATAACTTGCTCATCTTCGAACATTTCTACTTGACAAATCCCTGACGTAAATTATACATTTAAGCAAAATACTGATAAAATTTAAAATGCAAGCAAAAATGATTAAAAATTTTAAGTAATCATAACCAAATTTACCTTTTTCTCCATAGCAACTTCCCCATGATAAGAGAAAAATAATTTCCTAAATTGCTAAGAACGACAACTTCAACCTTTACGAGCTAAAAATGTCCAGGTTTCGTTTTCAGAAATTATGGAAAATACCTGTTGCATTGCTTAGATCCCTTCAATAAAACACTTTAATACACGCACTTCTCCAGCACAGATACAAGAAAGCAAGTTAAGACAGTATAAAAATCCTACCTGTATGTCACAATGTTGTTAACATGAAACCTTATTGGCCTGCAACAGAGCTTCCGTTGTAATGCCCGGCAAACTACAGTCTGGGCTTTACAAAGCAGAACAGAGAAACTAGAGTTTTTTTTTCTTTGATGATAACTTTTTGGCTTTGGGGGCAGCAGATTATTTATACTGACATATTCAGCATCGCCGGGAGGAGCTCGTCATGTTCTGCCGTGGTTGCACTGTGTCTCACACTGATGGCGTTTTATAAATGACTGGATGCTGTTTGTGTAGTGTACGGTTATGGAGACAAATGACAGAAACTCGCGTGAGGTAAGTCAGAATCAATGGAAAAAAGTACTCTCCGGAAAGAGAAGATAATTAATGACACTGGTCACTTATATAGTTGTCAAGTGACAAGAAATGTGTTATTAATTGATTACATATATTATGATTTATGGTTGTAATAAATTAAAACATCATTGTCCACTGCGCTCCGCTGCTATGCTCTCCTGCCATTAGAATCAACAGTTTTAAGACTTAAATGAAACACGTTAGAGAGTGAATATCCAAAGAATTTTCATGACATTACTGACCTAGCAAGAAACACTTGTCTCCCGTATACTTAGATACTAGGAACTTCAAATTAAAGACTACCAGAATTCTGTCTGGTTTAAATTGATTAAAATAGAAGACAGCAAACATGCATTTAACACAGAAATTGCAATGATGGGACTTTTCCATGAAACGTTGAAATGTAGTCATTAATTATTACACAGAAAAGTAGAGAAGACCAGACTTAAAAGTGATTTCAAAAGAAGATTTTAGAACTTTTAAAGACGTGAATGATTGAGAACATGAGGTCAGTGTCATATTTTTGTATGAACGGACTCTATTTTGAAATAATTAATGGTGTAAATTAAATAATTATATATTGCTTTAAAATTCTTTTCATCAAAAAGATGAAATATAATAACTAGCAATAACAAATCTTCAGAGGACAAGAAAGTGGTCATGAGTTATTTTCAAATGCGTATTGTGCGTGATTTTCTATGAATAAGCAAACTATAATTAATATTGACTCATCGTCAGTTTCTACCTCCCTTGCTGCTGACAAAATGAATGTAAAACAATAACAATTTATTATTAGCAATAAAAATGATAATAGAGAAAGAGTTCATAACGTTTATCATTAGGAATTTGGAGGTACAGTAATGGCGCCTGGTACAGTGTTGACCCATTACCTCCACTGAATACCCGGATTATAGATGGCTTCTGTCGTCACTCAAAACGGGATAAAATATCATCTCATTATATACAGGTCTACGTAAACGCCTACGCTACTTTATTGTGTAAGAGGCCACTATATGACAGTCAACATAGTTTGGCAAACTTTCTTCTTATCCGAAAGGGAAATTTAGGTGTATCTTTGATTATTAATTAGAGGAAATCCGGAAATACTTGCTTAAAGAGGGAGGAAATAAGCACCTCCTTCAAATTTACCTGGTCTGAGAACCCCTGTCAATCATCTGAAATTTAGCCTGGGATTGGATACTTTGATTTGAGTGACATTTAGTTTGCTGCAGTTGTGTATATCTTGTGTACCTTGTTAGGAGATCGTACCGACCATCGAATTAACTTTCAGGCTATTGATGCCTACCGCACATGCCAAAGTGATAAAGAAGCAATCAAATCGTTCTTTTCTTTTTTAATTCATAAGAATATGCCATAAATATAATCAATCTATCAAATAATTAAATAAATGACAAGAAAAAGCATGGCTATATAATATATATTATAAAATTAATATTAAAAGGGAGGATTTCCTATCACGATTACAATCGATAATTTTAATTTCCGTGTCAAAATATGAGTTAACGTACATTTATTCCTCCATTAATTAACAAAATAAACCGACTGCGTTTGAAGCTAGTACCATGGAATTAAATAAAATTATTTTTTCAAACAATCATGACAACATTGATCATGAGTCAAGCGAATTTATATTTATAAGACAAACCTGTACGTGTTGCTTTTCTTCGAGACATGGTGACGAAGTTACGGTATAATGATAAGTTTTAGAAAAAAATTACTTGGAATATAACATCTTGCTTTGTATTTAATGATTGAAATTAATAATGAATCACAAAAGAGAAAAAAACGATGCAGATGATTACAGTATTTTCCCTTTTCATAGCTGTCGGGGAATCAACCCCGGTCCGAACCCTGACCATTTTTACTGACCATGTTTTATGGAAAAATCAAGAAGGGTTTATCTTAAAAAGATATTTATTTAGACAAAAATATATCTACTTCAACATCTTATTCTCAAAACATCTTTTCCAAGTTTCATTTTATTTACCGAGAGACTGTTTTGTGATTCACTTTCTTCTTTCCTTTTGCGTAGACAACGTGTAATTTGAATTACTTCCCTTTTTGTCGCCAGATTACAACGACAGATTTTGGTGCTACATGCATTTTCGTCATAACACTTCATTAAGAAACACACTGTATATAAAAATGTCGAATTATTAAAAATATCAATTACTTTACAAGAAAGAAATTGAGGATTCTTTCGCAACAAAAAATGCTTTATTTCGCATTTCAATTCATGAGGTAAACATGAAAAAACGGCCTCGGTTTACAAAGTCGTAGGAAACCGCATACAGGTAATACACTCAGGGGCTCAGGTAACATCCTGTGTGTAAGGTGTGATAGTTTGTTCCCTGTGTCTTCTCAGCTTTGTCCTTGTGCCCCACACCAAACTTACCTGAGGAAAACCGTACGGTTGAAAACCTCGGCCTTTAAATGAAAAATAATCACCACAAAGTAATAAGTTATCTCTATTTTATACCTCTTTTATAACTTCTTTTCTGTTATGTAATATGACCCCGAGACAGTTAATTAAGTACATTAGATTAAAATATCCCTTCAAATGCAGTGTAAACATATAAACTGCTGGATATTTGATTAAAAATGTGTTTGTGAAACACGATGCCCTTGTACGACACTTTATGGCGAAGGTTAAAGTTTCTCGAATGCAAGTCAAACTTCAAAGTATAATATATAGTTACTTTAAAAAAGACTTCTTTTATTGAATACATATGTAAAATGTGAAACTCCAGACACCAACCAATAAAAAATTATGGACAATGTTAAAGTTGGTCAAATGTCTAGGTCAAAGTCAAGGGGTCAAAAATGCTGGTAACCAAGCAAGGAAAACCCTTGTCAAAAGGAAATACATCTGTGAAATATTTAGAGCTCTGACACCTATTGTTAAAAAGTTGATTTGAACATATTTTATTGTATATACTTTACAACTGGGATTGGGCTAAAGTTCTAAAAACTTATTACGCCCTCTCCCTACATATATATTTTACCAAACATATTTACATTCATGGGTTTCAGCTTAAAATGAAATAACACAGAAAAACGTAATATATAATAATCAGAGTAAAACACATTCAATAGAATACATTCCATATGTAATAAACATGCTGTATAAGATTTACAATTAGAAATAATTATTGTATCAACCAAATCGTCCTGACTTTTTAATAAAAGTTTGTACAATAGAAAATAGGTATTCATTTTCAACATCATTTAACGATTTGTCTCCCCATAAAGTGTTAGTATACAGTGTGTAATTTTAATTAAAAATTTGTCAAAAAAAATCTTTCCTGGCTTCTGTATATTTTTTGCATGAGAAAAAATAATGATGAGTATTTCCTTCCACAAGAACATAGTTCAAGATTACATTACATCGAAAAAGATCATTAAGCACACAGTTATGTTAAGCCTCGTGTGAATTATATTTAAGCGTAGAGTTCCATAACTAAAGTAAGAGGGTGGCATTTGTTTATTGTAAGAAATAGAGTTTTTAAAAATAGATAACGAGGAAGAATTTTTTACATTAAGAGGTAATGAGTTCCAAATTCTTGTAAGCTTGCAATCTACATTTGGGTATATTATAATTCTGCGAGTTTCTCTTACTGTAACTTGATTAATTACATCGTAAGTTTGGGATTATATCAGTTAGATATTCAGGAACTTGGTTTTTATCAATTTTATACATTGTAGTTAGTCTAGTCTTTTTCCTTCTTTCATGTAATGGTTCCCATCTAGTTTCAAAGTAAAGTGCATCTTTAGAAGCTAACAGAGTTAAGCCTGTGACAAATCTAGCAGCACATAGTTGTAATTTTTCTAATTTTTCCCCCCTACATTACACACTCTCACACCAAAAGATTCACACACACATAAAGGTTGTGTACATGAGTGAAAGAGTTTTTCGGTTTATACAAATTTAAGTTTTTTTAACAAGCCCAATTTTTTATATGCATTAGCTAAAATAGTATCAATATGTGTAGACCAACTAAGATCTTGTGAGGAAAAAATCCCTATATGTTTATGAGCCAAATTAAAATTGACTTTGCTGGAAGAAGATTTCCAGGATAAATAATTTTCTTTTGGCTAAAAAAAATCTTTAGTTTTAGAAGGATTGAATTTAAAGAAGCCATTTTTTCCAAATTTCTAGCTTGTTAAGATCAGAATTCAGTTTGTTTTCAAACGGTTAACATTTTTAGAACTGTTTTAATTATCATTTGCAAATAATCTACAAAAACTTGTCATTTCTTCAGCAACATCATTAACATATATAAGAAATAATAGAGGTCCTAACACTGAGCCTTGTGGGACACCCGCGTGCATTGGTTTTTCGTCAGATAGCAAGTTTCTGTATAATACTCTTTGTGATCTACCTTCTTTGTAACTCTTTAACCAAAGAAACATATTTCCCTCTATACCATAAGTTCTGAGTTTGAACTAGAGACCCTTGTGCCACACACGATCAAATGCTTTAGAAAGATCACAGAATATCATACAACAATTTTCACTATCGTCGATAGCTTTAACAATAGTATCATATGTTTCTATTAGTTGATATACAGTGGAATGACCTGGTAAAAATCCAGCCTGGTATTTATAAAATATTGTTGTCACGAAAGTGATTATACAAGTGCTTGAATATGATTCGTTCCATTATTTTACCAATACAACTTAACAGTGACACAGGTCTATAATTAGACATAATTGATGGATCATCTTTTTTGAATAAAGGGAGAACATTAGCAACTTT